TTTATATCAAAATATGTCCGGGTGAGTTCGAACAGTTTGAATCCACGATTGGCCTCAAATTGGCCAACCATCGCGCAGCTAAGAAACTGTGGAAAACCTGCGTGGAACACCATACTTTCTTCAGACTGATGTCGCCTGAAATTAGTCAGAAAATTTCGCTGTTTCCTAGGTTAGGATCGAAATTTAGATATTCAGGTAGGACTCACTATGAGACGAGAAAAACACCAATTGACAGGCCTGCTCCTCAATTTGAAAGGTCCTTGGAAGGCAAAAGATTGACATCTAGAAGTATGGACCCTCTGAGTGTAAGACCCGAAGATGAGTACAATGACACCAACAAGCGCCATACAATGTCTCATCCTCCCGAGCACATCATTGATGTCGATAACCAGACACCTGCCAAAATTAAATCACCCAAGGACAAAGAAAAGAAACCTGTAGGCGGCGTAGCAGTTTTGCCGGCTGGTGGATTATTTGGTAAAAAGGACAAGGAGAAGAACAAGGAAAATGAGAAGAATTTACAAAATGGTAGAGATACGGACCAGCATAATGAGGACGATAAAAAGAGGTCTAAGAGCCCCTCGTCCCTATTCGGCAAAAGAGATAAATCTCCCAAGGAGAAAAAGGAGAAAGAGAAGATAGCAGAGAAGTATTCATCTCCAGGATACACCAAGCAGTACGATTACGAAGCTCCAGAAGTGCAGGTCAGCCCGAGGAAGCCTTACACCCAAGGTTTTAGCTACGAGAATCAATGATCGCCTTCAAGTCTAAAAAGTGACCCGGAAAATCAACAATCGCCATCTACAAAACGGGCTACAGCTACGGCATTCAACTATGCTCCTGGTGATATAGATAAATTGAAGAAAAGTGATGTTAAAGCTGATACAGCTGCCTTTTTGGCTGGGGAAAAATGCGAAAAAGACCCCACTAAAGAAACCAAACAGGCTAGCGCAGCTCCTTATAGCTGTAATAAACGTAAAAAACGCCCTATTAAATTACTCGTCGTCACCGAACCTAGAGACTTAAAAACAGGAAGGATTGATCTTGACCAATCAACCGCTGATCCTTAAATTCGCTGTTGACCAGAGACGCTGCAGATTTCGCAACAAAACAAGGTAGGTGAACAATCGACCTTTTTTTCTCTTTTCTATTTATTTAATGTAATTTCTCATCGCAAAATATCATATCGCAAAACGCATTTTTTCACGAACCGCACATATGAAAATAATACCAGTCCACTTAATTTAATCGCAAAACAGAATAAGTACAATTCTGCTCGCTGCTGACTGTTCGGTTTTTATGATTCACAATAAAAAATATATAAATTGTAAAATTAGTAATTTTTTAATGGCCATAATGCCTTCTTTCAAAATCATCGAACAACTAAATCATTTCCATAGATCCAGTGACGTACCATGACTTTGAATTTTGAGACCAAAAACTGAAACAATAATTTGTCAAAAAAATCATATTACAGCTATATGTTTTATTTTGCATAAAAATGTTAACTAATAAGTTAGAATACTTATAATTCTTCCCTAACTAAGTGGTTTTATCGCTAAATTTAACTAAAGCTAAGCACTAATAACAACACAAATCTTAAATACGTGGACTATTATAACAACAAATACATCGTAAAAGACTATTTTGGTATCATTCTGAACTAGAATTAAAGTTAAAACATTTTAGAAAATAATTTAAAGGAAAAATGTTAATTCAGTTAATATTAATGTTTGTATACTGCTCAGATTTATCTGGTCTTCTATCATATATTTTGGAAATTAGAGAATTACCTGAAGATTTTCATCTAAAAATTGGCATTGATAGTGGTGGTGGATCATTTAAAGTTTGTCTGAATGTGCTCCCTGAAAATGATCCCGAATATTTCAAGAAATATAAAAGTGCTGGAATTAATAAACTATTCATAATTGGCTTAGGACCAAAGTTGTCTGAATCTTATGCTAACATTAAAAGCCTTTTTGAGACGTTAGATTTGCAGTCCATATGTGGAATTTGTTCCTATACTTTTGCCGCTGACTTTAAGCTTATTATGATTCTCCTTGGTCTTCAGTCAAATTCATCCGCTCACACTTGCCTATGGTGTGATGTAAATGTATAAAGGAAATGGAAATTAAAGGATCATTCAGAACTATAAAAAGTATTACAGAAAATACAAATTTATGGCAACAATCTGGAGGAAATATAACAAAAGCCAAAGATTTTAGTAAGCGTTTTTGTTTGAAATATTTTTTTTTGTATTTTTTAAACTGTTGTTCAATGAACCATATAAAAAAGGGCAATTAATTTTAGAAAACTGTATAAACATACCTTTAATCATTGGCGACGAAGAAACACCTGTTTTAAAGTATATTCCCCCTCCTGAGCTCCACCTTTTGTTAGGTGTAGTTCAAAAACTATTTGATTGTCTTGAATTGGAGAATACCAATGTTGCAACAGAATGGATAAAAAAGCGGGATTGAAACTAGATCATTATGGAAAATGTAACGGAAATAACGCCAGACAACTTTTAAAGAAAGTGGATATTTTGAAGACGATTGTTTACGCCCGGTAAAGAATCCTATTCAAAGTTTTTAGAAGCAAAAACCTAAACATCTTTTTTTTAGGAATAAATATATTGCAGTGTTTTCTGCATTCAATCAAGTAGTTTCGAGTTGTTTTGGTCAAGCACTAAACAAACATTTTGAACATGACATCGAACAATTTAAATTGGAAATACTCAACTTAGGTATTAAGATAACTCCAAAGATTCATGCAATTCTGCATCATGTGCCAGAGTTTATAAAAACAAATCATAGAGCTCTAGGATTTTACTCGGAACAAGCATCTGCGAGCAGGGCCCGTATTCTGTAACTTTGAAAACGCTAAGCGCTTTTAGACGCTCAGCGTATATGACGTTAATTTTCGCTGAGCGCGCACTTAATTAACGATTTCTATATTCTCGTCTTACGCGCTTAGCGTCTTTACTGACTGCGCTGAGCGCTTTGAAAATGGTTGCCTTAAAGGATCGTTTTGCTTGTCGAACTGTGAGTGAAAATCGAAAAAATTGTGATTTTGTGCGTTATCTTGCTCTTTAGTCAAAATTACTACTTCTTCTATAAATTCCTCAATAAGTAATTGATAATTTACGACTTGGCAGCTATAAATATTGTTCAACACATCGAAAATGCTGAGAAGAGCATTCAACACTTCCCTCGTATAATAAGAATAATGACATATCCATATAAAAATAGCTTGACATAACTCAACAATAGGTTATGAAATTCACGTAACATTGACATTTTTCATTGTTACATCCATCAGTTATCAACTTTTGGCTATTAGCTACTTAGAAATTGTGATGTTGCCAATATGTGCTCAACGCGTATCCAGAACACGATTCGCATGGCAACGAGAATACCAAAATCGACTGTCTTGCGTTTCGCTGATCGAATACTTGCGCTATGACTTGCGCTCACCGCTTTGAAAGCGTAACGTTTTTATGTCAAAGTTACAGAATTCGGGCCCAGGTTCATTTTTCCTTTAAATTATTTTCTAAAAAGTTTAACTTGAATCCTCGTTCAGAATGCTACAAAAATAGTCTTTTACGATGTATTTGTTGTTATAATAGTCCACGTATTTAAGATTTGTGTTATACTTAGCTTTAGATAAATTTGGCGATAAAACCACTTAGTTAGGGAAGAAATATAATTATTCTAACTTATTAGTTAACATTTTTATGCAAAATAAAACATATAGCTGTAATATGATTTTTTTGACAAATTATTTGTCATTTTTTGGTCTCAAAATTCAAAGTCACGGTACGTCACTGGATCTATGGAATTGATTTAGTTATTCGATGATTTTGAAAGAACGCATTATGACCATTAAAAAATTACTAATTTTACAATTTATATATTTTTTATTTTGAATCATATAAAAACCGAACAGTGTGCTAAATCAAAGGTAGCGCCGCTCAAAACGCAATCAATTCCTCGCTTAGAACTTTGTGGAGCTTTATTGCTCACACGATTAATAAATTTTGTGACAAAGTCACTCGCTACTAGGCTTACTTTTAAAAATATTTTTACTTTTACTGATTCGCTTATTGTATTACATTGGCTTCACGCATCCCCTCATCGCTTTAAACCTTTTATCGCCAATCGCATCGCTATTATTCAAGAAGAATTACCTAATTCTATTTGGTTGCACATCGCTACGGAAAATAACGCTGCTGATCCTGCGTCCAGAAGCCTTCTTCCTTTAGATTTTGTAAAATTTTCTTCTTGGTGGACAGAACCAGATTTTATCAAACTAACGACAAACACATATGATAATTTTTGTAAATTTTCTCCTGATTTTCTCATAAATGAATCGGATAAGGAAGAAAGAAAAATTGCTTTAATAACCGTTAATCAATTTGACATTTTTGAACAACTTTTAGAAAAATACTCATCACTTTCTAAAATACAAAGAATTTTATGATATGTTCAACGATTTATTTTTAATTTGAGGAACCCAAATTCAAGAAATACTTCTTATTTTTCTGCTCGTGATTCAAACAATGCTTTATTACTGCTTGTTAAACATGTGCAATATAAATATTTTAGGTCGGAAATAGAAAATTTTCTCAGTAAAAAGTTAATGTCTAAACCCTTTCGCAAATTAGCCGCATTTGTTGATGATTTGGGATTCTTTCGAGTTGGAGGTAGATTAAAAAATTCGTTGTTAAATTATGAAAAGAAATATCCTTTAATTTTTAATTATAGTCACGTCCGGCATCGTTATATGCCTTAGTGCAATTCCCTGGCCACGACACTACAGCCAGGGACAAGACAGTGAGATGCTTCTTAGACCGAGCCAAAGTGCTAGAGGAGATTCCTCCAGCACCTGACAAGGAGCTTCCCCACCAACGACAAGGTCTTTCTTGCCCTAGAAGATTCTAGGAGAAGAAAATAAGAGCTACAATACCGTGTAAAGAGCTACAAATACCGTCTAACTCAAATAGAATGGGCAAAAGTATATTTTTTTAGTCAAAATATGCTAAATCTAATTTGGAATTTGCTTTAGGTAGCATTTAAAAATTACTCAGTAGAGGATTGTCAGAAAGTATGGGCTCAGTTGTTGAAGAAAGTTAGACACTAGTTACAAGTTAGACAATTAAACAAGTTAAAAATTGAAATAACCCATGATGAAGGCAAGTTATTGAAAATATCGATTTAAAGGCACAATCCAAACATCCAAAGGTAATAAAAAATATATTGACACAAAATCAGTACCTAATAGTTCTTTATATACTTTTCAGGCATCAACAGAAACACATACAGGTATGCCAAAAAGACCCTTAAGTTCTTACTTTCTCTTTTACATTAGAAAAAAGGATAAGATTGCCGAAGAGCATCCTGAAGCGTATGTGGTAAGTATAATATTGAGATCATTTTAAGACCATTTAGCCAAAATATTTGTTTTTTTAGACTGAGTTAAACAAATAAAGGTCTCCCTTTAGAAAAGAAGCAGAAGTATAATGACTAGTTGCCAAAAATAGAGAGAAATATAAGAAAGATATGGAGGAGTTTTAGTAAAGGTTTATATTTGTAACAGTATCAAAAAGAAACATTTTTACATTATCATTTAGTGTCAAACACCCAGACCTCAGAAAAACAATAAAGAAAGAACCCAATATGAAAAAAGGAAAACCACCAAACGAACCAAAAACTCCCTACAGATTATACATGTTGGCTGAGTTAAATAAAGAACCAACTGATGAACAATATAAGACAGAATTTAAGGAACTGTGTAGGGAGAAATGGAAACAAATGCCAGATAGAAAAAAACTGGTTTGGATAGATCTTGTTGAAATACCAAAGAGAATTAATAAGTTACATGGCAAGGTATCCAGAATATATTCCGAAAATCCCTACCAGACCTTTTCTGTCAAGGGAAGAACTGAATCTCTCTCAAAGACAAGCTTGCTGGTAGAATGTAGAATGAGTGAGAGTGGGGGTTAATCACTGTAACCTTAAATATCTATTGTACCGCCCTTCCTTGATTTATAACTCTTCACACAGTCTATAGCTTGTTGTAGAGGGAACAGGCTATTTCCCATCCTCTGATAACAGATGTTCTTCGTCCGAGGGTATACTCTTGAGATACACAATCTATGAAGATCATGCCTACCCGAAAGTGTATCCCCGCAAAACGCAGCTGACCCACATTTTGTAGATCATTGTGTTGCGATCCAATTACCACTACTTCGTCCAGTATAGCCTCTTCTAGAGACGTTTGCTGGTCGGTGATCAGAGACTCTGGGAATCCTTTGGCAGCACCGCAATTTTCACTTTTCCAGCAATAGCGGTAAAGCTGATACGTCCTTGCTTGCCTCCCGGTGTTGGACAGTTTTCCATCCTGTTTTTTTTTCTATCCCTGCCGGAGAAGAGGTGAGAGGTTCTCGCTCCCTCTCTTGCCCTTTGATGTAGACGAGACAGGCTGTTTCTTAGTTTCTTTACTCTCCCCTTTGCGGAGGAGTGTTTTTGCTTTTGCTTCCTCTGGAGCAAGTCCTTGGAGACCTCTGGAGACCTACTCTCAGAGGATCTAGCCCGCCTGGTTGACCCAGGCCGGATAGACGAAACGGTAGCTTTTGTCGCTTATTAAGCCAAGAGCCCTCCACACTTTTTACCCGTGAGACATGACCACAGACAGTAGAGGGTGCCTAGTATGACGGACAGGATAGCCACGTCCGGCATCGTTATATGTATTGGCCGCGACACTGCAGCCCGGGACAAGATAGTGAGATGCTTCTTAGACCGAGCCAAAGTGACAGAGGAGATTCCTCCAGCACCTCACAAGGAGTTTCCCCACCAACGACCAGGTGTTGCATCTCCTAGGGGAAGCTTGCTGGTAACTAAAATAGAAATTTATTAAACAATTATTATGTATAACTAACAAAATATTTTTCAGGAAGCACAAAGAAAAATAAATCTCCACCCAAAAAGACAGTATTGGTTAAACCAACACCCCCTCCAAGGTTCGTAAAATGTATACTTCGAAAATATGAATTTAAAATTAATTCTTTTTTATTCTTTCAGGTCTAAATATTTTTGGAAAAATATGGTTGGGATAATCCGAAAGTGGCATGGAAAACGCTAGATCCAAACGAAACAGAAAAATATGAAAAGGAATTGACTACTCTGAAAAATAAATATATTAAAGATTTTGAAGCTTACTTGAAAAGTTTGACTAAAGAAGAATTGGCAGTGTTTTCTGCAAGCAGAAAACAACAAAGCAATGATGAGAGTTATTCAGAATCAGAGGTATTTTTCATAATTTTTGAACTATTTCCAACTAATTTTCAAACCCCTATACTTTTTCAGGATTCTCCTGATGACTCTTCAGAAAATGAAGGATCGGACACAGATGACATTTAGGTTAACACATCAACCTGTCTAAATATTTAAAATAATTACAACATATAGGCAAATAGATTTTTTAGTAAAAATCTACCTCCGAGAAGGGGGCATTTGGTCTTTATAAAAAACGACTTTACATCTCGATGTTATTTGGTATATTTGTCATACAAAATTTAAAAATAAATACCTCAAAAATAAAAAGTATAAGATAAGTATATTCTTGGACTGTTCTGTAAATAATTGTAAAAAAAAATAAAAAAAATCTTTACTTTTGGAATACCAAAATTCAATCTGAAATATTGCTTTTTCGTCTAGCATATAGTATCATAATTATTTAGGAAGCCTATAGAGGGTGAGTCTTAAATAAGTGCTAATATTTTCAGGGCTGGTAGATCTCGATAAAAGAAACGGAAAAAAATCATTTCTATATTCAAGAATAATCATACACTTAAAATTTTACACTTTCTTTAAGGATAGTATTCTTTCCATGAGTACAACAAATATTTGGATCTATTTTATTTTTAAACTTGCTTTTTAAATATAGTTATAGTCACTTTAAGTAATTTTGAATCTAAAAAAAAAGAATAAAATGGCTTATATTTAAGAAAAACTTATATTACTATCAAGTGAATAAAAATCATTTAGCAAAGAAACTATTATTAAATGAAGTATAAATACTTTTATATAATAAGTATTTTTAACTTTTTAAAAACTTTACTTGAAATCGGTGTATACTTTAAATAAGCATATTATTCTCGGTGCGAGAATAACACCCCATTTCCAAAAGTTACTATTCTTATATTAAGTGACCATCCCCAACAGCAACAACGCAACGTGCATTCCTGATTCCTACCTTCATTTCCTTGGATTTCTGTTTCTCTCATTCGACACGAGACGCGCCGACTAGTTGGGTAGGTTTATAAAGTTTTTTTGTTATTGTTTGTGCTTGTGATATATGAAAATGGAGGACCTTATTCAGGCATGCGAGATGACGGATTTGATCCCAAAATTTCAAGGTAAGTTTAGCAATAATCCTACATTATTTGATAACATTGGTTGGAGGTTAGGGGGACTCCATTTTAATATGCATTATTTCTTAATCACCGGTGATAAACTAGGTATGTACGCGTTTGGAATGATTCAATTATGTTTTAACAATTTTTATTATCGTTTCGCGTTTTTAATTAGCGATGCCGCTGTTCAATATCTACCTATATTGGGCAATTACACAGTTTTATTGTATTTTATTATTACGAAAAGCATATAATTTGGTAAGTGATGTTTGGCTAATCTAATTTAAAAAGTATTAACCATAATCGGGGTTATTCTGGTGATCTTTCAATATTCCATACCTATTGTAAATGGAAATTAAAATTTTTAGCATGTACCAACTCTAGTATATTCATGTATGTTACCGGACAAACCCGATTTTAGGATAAACTAATTTTTACTAGGCCAAATCAGGGTATCCAAAGAGACGCGGGTTTGAAAAACTATTATGCCGCGCTTAAATACTTTAGATAAAGAGAAGATTTTACCAAAACAAGAGTTTCTAACAAGATCAAACCCGAACCACCGAAAGCATAGGGAACACGTTACCGAATTTTATGAAAATTATATAGTTTTTCGAACCCGCTTAATATTCGACCTAGGAAAAACTAGTTTATCCTAAAATCGGGTTTGTTCAGTTCGGAAATAGTGCATATTAAAATGGAGTCCCCCTAACCTCCAACAAATGTTATCAAATAATGTAAGATTATTGCTAAACTTACCTTGAAATTTTGGGATCAAATCCGTCATCTCCCATGCCTGAAGAAGGTTAGGAAACACAAACGATAACAAATAAATAAATAAATGCCTTTATTGTCAAAAAATTTTTCAATTTGTAGACAAAGGTAAACAAATAAAGTAAAAAAAAAACAAGGTACACAAACAAACAAACAAAAGGTAATACAAAACATTATACAAATAATATTGTCAGTCTTATTGTTTAAAATAAACATTTATAAATGTTTACAATGTCAAAGAACAAAAAAAATAAAAATAATATTCAAAAATATTTAGTTAGTTTATAGTAAAATATCAATGATCTCTAAATAAATTTATTTCGATGTCATTAGTAAATATAGCAATAGCAAACATTAGACCAGTGTTTACAAGATCAAATTCGATTTTCAAAATATAATTCATTTACGGCGTAGAAAGCCTTGTCTAGTAAATAAGAGTTCAATGCTTTGCGAAATGAAAAAAATGATGTTATGGATTTAATTTCAAATGGCAGGTGATTGTGCATTTTTTTCGAGTTGTATAATATAGAATTTTTAACTAACTCTGAGCGTGGGGTAGGTAGATAAAGATCTTGCTCCGCGTTCCTGAGTGAATAAGTGTGAGATGGCCTTTCTTGAGAAGCTGATACATGTTTACGTATTAGGCAAACGGATTCAAATATAAATGAGGAAGGAAGAGTCAATATTTTTAATTCTTTAAAAAAGTCCCGGCAATGAGTTCTGCTGTTTAGTCCCAGTGCAAATTGAGTCGCACAACACGTACCCCAGAATGGAAGGGCATACCTAAGGTGCGACTCAAAAAGTGCATAATAAACAGGTCTAGCCACTGACAAGTTAAGCTCCTTAGAAACAGACCTTAATGCAAAGCAGGCAGAGCTCAATTTTTTCGACAAAGCTTCGATATGTATGTCCCATTTCAGAGAATTGTCCACAACAAGCTCTAAGAATTTTACAGATTTTTTCGACGTCAATGGTGGTGTTGTTAAGTGCAAAAGGCTGCAACGAGTTTTTATACGACAAAGCTTTAGTTTTAGAAATGTTGAGACTCAGGAGGTTCGAATCGCACCAAGATTTAATGGTGATTAAGTCATTTGATATAATCCTATGAAATGCCGTGATGTCCTTGTAGCTCCAAGTAAAGCTAGTGTCGTCCGCAAAAAGACATATTTTGTCACTGATGTTTATGTTAGCAATGTCGTTAAT